AATGCTGTCAAATCACGAGCCAATCTGGCGTTTCTGTGTTTACTCACTTTGCTGGGGAAGTTCGTGTAAGACAAATCTGCGCGGATTTACTCGTGGGTCCTCATGATATATTAAATACAGCATATTGCACAGAATCTGCGCATTTCTGGCTTACTTGAACACACACGTCACTACACAACAAATAACGGCGCGCTTGTTCACTTGCATTGAAGTAATAGCGAATATTAAAAAGCATTTGGTGAACAGAAAAGACATTGTTATTTTCCAGCATCCTACATGTTCTGTGTGCTGTGTTGATCTGTCCATCTAAAACACATTTTTGGTAAAAAAAAAAAAAAAGGGGGCGTTAAAATCGATTCCCTAATTTCGTTTTCGAGACTTGTGTTGGTTGGTCCGATCGATTGTGCGATCGATTTTTGAACGTAAAGTGACAGCCCTAGTTAAAACCTTCTGTCTTCAAGCAATTTGAACTTCTAGCTGTGGAAATAAAAATCGCAAATTGTCATCGGTTGTTATAAGGCGCCATCGCGCCCTCAGATCACTTGGACGTGGCTGTGTTTACAAGAGGTAAAAACGATATAAATACTGTTAGTTTTCTCACACAAACCGCTCGTTTCGTGTCTTAGGCCATCAATGTGTACTTACATTTACGAGTCATTAAATCATGTTTAATTTGGACTTCTCTGTGCTGCTCTTTGAGGTGGTGACCATAGACCTGCATTATATGACTGACAGACAGGAACGGTTTGACCTAAAAATATCAAAATTGAAACTACTGCGGAAACAAAGACACCTACATCTTGGATGCCCTTGAGGTAAGCTAAAACATACCAAAAATTAATTTCAAAGTGAACTATCCTTTTAATGATCATTTTGAAAGGGCAGGACATATCTTTGAGGATGCATTGGGTGAAACCTCTCTTGTTCAACATAGTTCCCAGGTAGCAATAGGTGAAATCCCAGTCACGACATGGAGAAGTGGTTTCTTATTCTGCTTCTGCTTTGACCTTTGAGCTTGCACCATTCTTTGAGTCAGATGTTTTGCAGAGCATTGACTCCAAGAAGGCTGCGGGGCCAGATGGACTTTATCCTGTTTTGTTAAAAATGAAAGCAGAAATGATAGTGAAGCACTCACTTACATCTTTAACCTATCCATTTACACAGACACAGTGCCTATTTCCTGGAAGCATGCTTACGTCACGCCATTACCGAACGCTGGGGATCCATCTGACACAAATAATTATGGACCCATCTCAAATCTTTCGGTTTTAGCAAAGGTTTTGGAGATTTTAGTGTCTGATCTGGTTTCACAAAATATCCTTAACGACATGCAGTCTGGGTTTAGATCTGGCCACAGTACAGTGTCTGCCTCTTTAAAAGTTTGATAAAATTGATAAAAAGTTATTCTGTATGGCTGTGTTCATTGACCTTGCAAAGGCATTTGATACAGTCGACCACTTCATGTTAATCAAAACCCTGTTGAATATTGGTGTTGGGCATGCAGCTGTGAAATGGTTCTCTCTGAACGGATGCAAATTGTAAGGCATGGGAATGTAACATCTGACCCTGTTGTCCTAAAAAAGGGTGTCCCACAAGGATCAGTTCTAGGTCCTTTGCCTTTTATCATCTATATAAATAATGTTTGCAGTGAGTTTAAACACTCACAGTATCATTTGTACACCTCAGACTGCATGTGCAAATTTGCATTTAGACTTTGCTTCATTACAATCTGCCCTGTTTGATTGGAAACTATGTTTAGATGCAAAGGCGATGATATTTGCACCTATAAATACTAAAGTCCCAGCTCTTGCTATTAACACATTGCAAGATGAAGCCATTGAACTTGATACTTATAAATACTTGGGAACTGGCTGGACAAAGATTTTACCTTTAAAAACATATTGAAGCTCTTGCTACAAAACTTAAATTCACTCTGGCATTTTTATATAGATTGAAATCTTGCTTTTTTAGGACTACACAGAAAAAACCAGTTGCAGGATTATTCAGATTCAGATTCAACTTTATTGTCATTGCACAAGTAAGGACAACCAGTACAACGAAATGCAGTTTTTACATCTAACCAGTAGTGCAATCATTAAAGTGCTTTTCTTTTATAGCAGTGCTTAAAAAATACACAATAACGCAAAAAGCAGTATGATCATATTAGTCCACTATTAAAATGCATTAGCAATAAAGTGCATAGAGTTCTGAGAAGTCAGATGGTCCGTATAAATAGAGATTATCATATATAGTGCATTTCTGTCACAGATTATGGTGATATCATCTATCAATTTGCATGTCCATCTACTCTGTCAATGCTTGACCCTCTCTATCATGCGGTAAATTGGCCGTCACTCAAAGTGCGCAGTGGTTCTACTTTGGCACATTTTTATTTATAAAGTTATTTTAGGTATTTTGCCGCCTTATATATGTTTAAAATGTGTTCATATGCAAAGTACATGTCATTTAAGATCTAGTGACGGACTATTTTGTAAGGTACCAAGAATGAGGACAGAATGCATTTTTACTCATTTTTACTGCATTAATACTAATTACATAAATGCATGATGATTATTGTTGGGTTTTCATTGCAAAATAACAAAGAAATTCACATGAGAAAAATTCAGATTCAGTAATTTTGCTGCAAAAATCTGAAAAATTACAATAATGTCTTACAAAAAAGTACTGTGTTGGTACCGTGGTATATCATAATGTACGGTACCGAACTTATGATATTTACAGTGCAGGATACTCCAAAAAAAGATGACTAATATTCAGTAATATTGAATTCTGACAATATCAGATGAGAACAAACATGAGCTGAATTGATCTGAATAATGACTCTATTGTCTAGAGTTTAAACTTGTTTCATAATCGATTAATTTTACGTACATTTTCCTGTTTATTTCTGTGAAGCTGCTTTGAAATATTCTTTATTGTTTAAAGCGCTGTAGAAAACTTTTTGAACGCCTCCATTGTAGTCTCGAGTTTCTTCCGGGAACGAACACGTCACAATATTCCTCATTATAATAATTCATATGCAGAATAAAGGGGCGGGGCCTGGTTGAGTCAGTTAGTAGTGTGTTAAACTGGTGGTTATGGTAAGGGGCGGGACATTTCCCAAACACACTCGAAGCGCTCGACCAATCACAACACACTGATCCAGCCGACCAATCAGAGCACAGTGTGCTTTTCAGAAGGAGGGGCTTCATAGAGACAGGAAGTAAACAGAGCGTTACTGACAGACTGGGAAGAGAGGAGCCACAACAATGGAAAATATGAGGGAAATAATCAACATTCAAGCGGGAAAACCTGTTCTAGTAGAGCCTGAAAACATCATCAAGACTTGTGAAAGGGCAGAATAGTTCCTCTTTGATATCTGCAGGTGTTTGACCCTTTAACTCTTGTAACTTTGTGCTCACTGACCTCTACATGCGGTTCCTTCCCAAACATGCTCCACTCCTCCTCTCTCTCTGAGCGGTCCGTCCACGCCTGGATCCGTGTGGAGAAGTGGATCTTTATTCTTCAGGCTATATGACACATATAGGTCAAGGTCACATACTTCCCCTGGCATTTGCAGTGACTTGGTACAAAGTTCCCAGAATCCTTAATAAAGACCATGAAATGCCACAGAGGTCATGAAAAATGAGAACTGTTGAAGATCTGATCGTTGAGAAACCGAGAGAGAGAGAGACATAGAGAGAGAGAGAGAGACATAGAGAGAGAGAGAGAGACATAGAGAGAGAGAGAGAGACATAGAGAGAGAGAGAGAGAGAGACAGAGAGAGAGAGAGAGAGAGAGAGAGTCTTTGACCTGCACATGGGTTTGTTTATGACGTTTGCAGCTGTTTTTGTCTCGCTGGACGTTTCACTAAACATCTTCCTGTGGAAAACAGTTTCTTCACAAGCGTGTTCTGCTAAATATTTGAGTATTTCCTCAAACATTTAAAGATTAGTGTCTTTTAAAAGAAACAGGAAAGTGCATTAAACAATACTGCACCGTTTCCCCCAAACGCATGGATATAAACACACACATTCTTAATGGAAACTTTTTCACATAAGCACGTCACGAAACATATCAAAATCTCTATTAAAATCACAAAGAAAATGAAACCTGTTTTATTACCATTTTAAATTGACATTTTTTTCCGTGACAATTAATTCATTTTACCCCCCTCTCTATTATATATTATTTTATTTGTAAAAAACGTAGTATTTGATGTGCAGCAATTAATTCATGCTGATTTAGATAAATACAATTTCATCAAATATGACTGTATTATAGACAATAAGGAGAATTACAAATCTATATGCATTATAATCATGTGTTTTTATAAATAATGTCACAATGAAGTCATAATGTACCATAATCTTGCTTTATGCAAAGTATAATTTATGTACATCACATTTGTCATATCCTTTATTTTTAATGCATTTTGTTTGTGATTTGTATATTTTACATGCATTTTTATGCATTACGCAAGTTGGCAAAGAGCCAAAAAATATTCATAATTTATTAGATTAGGAAGCAAGCTTTCTTTTAAAATGCAGAGAAGAAAAAGCTGGTGTTTGTGTGTGTGTGTGTGTGTGTGTGTGTTTGTTTGTGTGTGTGTGTGTGTGTGTTAAGAAAAAATAATCAACACATATATTATTTGCAAAACATCTTTTTTAATATTGGATTGATTTTGGTGGTGAAACATGATCTGTTTTCATGAGTTGTGAATTTACACACAACAGAAGGTCCAGTTAAATCTGGTCGGTCACCTTGATCCATGTACAAGAATCCAAACACACGACACTCCCCTCTCTCTCTCTCTCTCTCTCTCTCTCTCTCTCTCTCTCTCTCTCTCTCTCTCTCTCTCTCTCTCTCTCTCTCTCTCTCTCTCTCCCTCTCTCCCTCTCTCTCTCTCTCTCTCTCTCTCTCTCTCTCTCTCTCTCTCTCAGTTCCCTCCCACTCTCGGTGACGCTCGCCCCTCACACTGCACTCATTCATTCAAATACTGAGCCGCCCGCTGGATCGCGTTTACTCTTCTGAAGAGCTTCTGGAGGCAAATACTATTACAGTCAACACGCCACAGCTGACTTATTATCTCATGCAAATCTGCTGAAGTGCTGAACTCTCCACCCTGTGTGTGTGTTTAGCAGGAGAACCTCACACACACACGTCCAGTGCTGTAGCAGAGGAATCGGTTCGCCAGCCTCAGCTTTATCACACCTGCACCATGAGGAGAGGCTCCTGTTGCATGGTCTCGTCCGGAGTCATCGGCGCTCTTCTCCTGGTCTCGGGAATCGCCCTGTTTGTGTCCGGTGTCTTCCAGACCTTGATCCACAACAAGCTGAAGAGGGTGAGAGTGTTTTCATCTCAATGCATCATTGTGGAGTTTATTAGCGCTTGTGTCTTACTCTGTGTGAGGTTTGGGTTGGATTGCTGCTTGATGACAGTGAAATCTTTTTGTCAGCCAAAATATTGGAATCTTTAAATGTGTATAGTATTTTATGTCTTTTACATTATTCATAAGTTTTTTCTTTTAATTTAACATTTTTTTATGATTTTATTTAGTTTTTAGTAAAGTGTTTTTATTATTCATGATTAATGTTAAATACTTTTGATTTATTAAAAAAATTGGTAAGTGTTTTATGCAGAATTTTTGATGATTAAGTTTACTTTTTATGATTTATTTAATTTTTAGTAAGTGTTTCATATTTATTATTTTTATTTTCAAATGATTTATTTAAATTCTTATGATTTATCTTATTTTTTCTAAGTGCTCGATATTGATTTTTTTTGTCTTAAATTATTATTATTTTTATTTATTTTATTTCAGTAGGTGTTTTATATAGATTATTTTTAGTCTTAAATTATGGATTTAAATTTTTAGGAACTGTTTTGCATTGATTTTTAATTATTTATTTTAATTTCAATGATTTATTTAATTTTTTAGTAAGTGTTTATATGAATTATTTACATTTGTAGTGTTTTTTATTATCTATTTAATATTTAGTAAGTGTTTTATGTGATTATTTTTATATTATTAATTACCATTTTCTATGATTTATTCACTTTTTAGTAAGTGTTTTATATTGATTGTTTTTATTTTTTAAATTATTTATTTTATTACCATTTGATGAGCTCGGACAGCCCAGTGAAGCGAGCACGATGTGTTCAGGCGTCAGGACACATGGAGCATGTGCTCCTTCGGTGTAATCAGAGAGTGACGTGTAACATGTGCTCAGTGTTTCTCTTCACCACATTCTGCATTCGTCCGCGTGCACCTCTCTTCCTCTTAGAGCTTCGCATAAATGTCACGTCTGCAGAAATCACATGACATTACATCAGACGAGGTAGAGGACGTTCTGCTGAAGTCATCAGGAACATAAACCACTCAATATAATTATTTTTGCACAAATAATTGTATTGTCAAATTAACCGCGTTCTGACTGTCTTGAGCTTTAACAGCAGATCCCAATGCTGTATTGTATGTAAATGTCATCGGCTGCAGGAACAGGAAACACATTGTGTGCGTTTTCTGAATGTGATTTGTCACAGGGATGAGTGTGTGTGTGTGTTGTTTCTCTCCGTGAACACTGCTGTTCTTCTGCTGAAAGATCCTTTGACAGTATGTTCAGCTGATTGTCTTAAAGTGCTAGTAATGCGACTGTAGCCTGAAGTTAGTGTGACTGTCGGTTCATTGCATTTTAGCACAAAAAATTCTTCCAAGTAAAAAGAAAATACTTGCAGTCTTTCCAATTCAAAGTTTCACGTGTTACTTGTCGTGATTTAGTGAAACTTACTAGCAATTTCTGAGTGAAAACTCAAAGTTTTCTTTCAGTGCAGCAATAATGCAGATTTTTTTTATTGTAAGAGGAAGTTCTTTCCCAGAGTAGCAATTAGCCCACAGCCGAGAATAACGGTGCGGATTGAAGCGGTCAGACGATCTGTTCGAGCCGCCCATGTTTACAGACATGTTTATATCCGAGACACCAAACTCCTCATAAACCTCTGCTTTCATCGTGTTCTGCAGATGTTTGGAAGAGTAACACACTCTCACACGCACATCTAGATTGTCCACGTTGTCCGTACTGGAGACTTTACCTGCATAAATTCTGTTTTGTGTTTTGTTTTGTTTTTACGTGGCGTTTAGAGGCAGATTAATGTGAAATGCATGATGCCACAATAATAGATTTAGAAAAGGTCCAATGCGGTTCTATATAGAACTCTAGGGTTCTTGACTCAATTTAAAGAAACTTTATTCCAAAAAGGTCCAATGCGGTTCTATATAGAACTCTAGGGTTCTTGACTCAATTTAAAGAAACTTTATTCCAAAAAGGTCCAATGCGGTTCTATATAGAACTCTAGGGTTCTTGACTCAATTTAAAGAAACTTTATGCCAAAAATGTTCAATGCGGTTCTATATAGAAATCTAGGGTTCTTGACTCAATTTAAAGAGCCTTTATGCCAAAAATGTTCAATGCGGTTCTATATAGAACTCTAGGGTTCTTGACTAAATTTTAAAGAAACTTTATTCCAAAAAGGTCCAATGCGGTTCTATATAGAAATCTAGGGTTCTTGACTCAATTTAAAGAGCCTTTATGCCAAAAATGTTCAATACGGTTCTATATAGAACTCTAGGGTTCTTGACTAAATTTTAAAGAAACTTTATTCCAAAAAGGTCCAATGCGGTTCTATATAGAAATCTAGGGTTCTTGACTCAATTTAAAGAGCCTTTATGCCAAAAATGTTCAATGCGGTTCTATATAGAACTCTAGGGTTCTTGACTAAATTTTAAAGAAACTTTATTCCAAAAAGGTCCAATGCGGTTCTATATAGAAATCTAGGGTTCTTGACTAAATTTTAAAGAAACTTTATTCCAAAAAGGTCCAATACGGTTCTATATAGAACTCTAGGGTTCTTGACTCAATTTTAAAGAAACTTTATTCCAAAAAGGTCCAATGCGGTTCTATATAGAAATCTAGGGTTCTTGACTCAATTTAAAGAAACTTTATGCCAAAAATGTTCAATGCGGTTCTATATAGAACTCTAGGGTTCTTGACTAAATTTTAAAGAAACTTTATTCCAAAAAGGTCCAATGCGGTTCTATATAGAAATCTTGGGTTCTTGACTCAATTTAAAGAGCCTTTATGCCAAAAATGTTCAATGCGGTTCTATATAGAACTCTAGGGTTCTTGACTAAATTTTAAAGAAACTTTATTCCAAAAAGGTCCAATGCGGTTCTATATAGAAATCTAGGGTTCCCTATCGGTCAGTCACTACAACGTAGGTCAGACTGACCAATAGGAATCTCGCTAGAGAGGCCAATCTACTTCGAGTGAAACTAAAACAAGCCAATGCACATTGGCATGCAATCATTTGCATCAGCTGCGCGTCCTCGTCAGCGCGGGTATTTAACAGCAGCTGTTATGATTGCACGCTAGCTTTTTGCTTCGGAGCCAAACGCTTCATGTTTAATCCTACAGAGTGTGACTACGAGCCTCTTCTTTGGACCTCTCCTTCCCGGTGCGGGCGTTACAGCACGGCAGCGCGAACAGTCGTCTTTTTCTCTCTCCTGTCTGTGGTATTGAGCAAAACCAAAAAGCTGTTGTAACAGCTGGTAAGGTGCGCCGTACGAGCGCTCAAAAGCTGTTTTCACAGCTGGTAAGACAGCGAGAGAGAGAGAGAGAGATCGCGCACAGACAGGTGCACATTCCTGTCTGTGTTCGCAGTGACTGTTCCCCTGCGTGTTTCAGCACCAGTGAGAGCAGTCCCTAAAAGAGCTTACACAAATAGAGAGCGTCTTTTAAAAAGAAAAATATGACTTTCTATTTGTGTGTTTCTGGATGCGGTCGTTACCTGGGCTCACAGGATGGTCACAAACGCTGCCTCGTGTGTCTGGGCATTGAACACGCTGAGGCAGCGTTTGTGGATGAGTCATGTACCCATTGTGGGAAGATGACCATCGCGGAGCTACGGTCGAGACTCCTGTTCCTGCAAAGGGGCGGAGTCCCCGTGCCTCTGCCTCGTTCCAATCCTCCTCAGAGGGTTGCTTCGGGCGGGGGCGCGGGTGACCTGAGGATCACGGTGAGCGCGTCTCCTTCGGGGAACCAACCCCCTAGGAGCCCTCACCCCTCTCATGCTCCGCAGCCAGTTGAGCTTTCATTGGAGAAAGCTGGACCATCCTCGAGGTGTGTACCGGTTGTCTCCTTTGGGGCTCCCAGTGACCAGATGTCGATCGCTGCATCGGAGGGTGGGTCAGACTTCTCTGCGGACGACGACTCGGCACCGCTGCCTCCTTCGGGGGTGCCAGCGGTGCCTGAGACGGACCCGGAGATGATGGCCATGCTCTCCCGGGCCGCCAACGGGGTCGGGCACGTGTGGAATCCTCCACCGTGTCCCGAACCCTCGAGGTTGGATGATTGGTATCTCGGGGTGGCGCGCGCTGGTTCTCAGCAACCCACCCCAGTGCCTTTCTTCCCGGAAGTGCATGAGGAGCTTACGGGAACGTGGACGGCACCTTTTACTGCCAGAAACCGTTCCGGTGGCTCCTCCTCCCTCACCACCCTTGATGGCGGGGCAGCTAAGGGATACACGCGCATCCCGCCAGTGGAACGGGCCGTTGCTATGCAGCTGTGCCCTAACTCCACTTGGCGTGGAGAACCGTGTCTCCCTTCCCGGGCCTGTAAGTACTCGTCGGATTTAACCGGCAAGGCTTACAAGGCCTGTGGGGAAGCTGCCTCTGCCATGCACGCCATGGCGTTGCTGCAGGTCCATCAGGCCAAGGCACTGAAGGACCTGCACGAGGGTGGTCATGATCCCCAAGTTCTTCAGGAACTTCGTATCGCGACGGACCTCGCGCTTCGTGCGACGAAGGTGACCGCGCGGTCGGTGGGTCGTGCGATGTCCACCATGGTGGTCCAGGAACGCCATCTCTGGCTGTGTCTGGCTGACATGAGGGAGTCTGACAAACTCCGGTTTCTCAACTCCCCTGTGTCCCAGACCGGCCTCTTCGGCGACGCGGTCGAGAACTTCGCCCAGCAGTTCTCGGCTGTACAAAAGCAGACGGAGGCCATCAAACACATCCTGCCGCGGCGGCCAGCTGCTGCCTCCACCCCGCCGCCCGCGGCACCTCAGTCTGCTCGTCGCCGAGGGCGTCCGCCTGCGTCTGCCCCTGCTCCCGTGCCGCAGCAGCAGCCTCCACCTAAGCGGCGCCGTGGAGCCAGTCGCAGGCAGGGCGCCCCGCCCGTCCAGGCCCCCGCCAAGAGGGGCGGCAAAGCCAGGGGTAAGCGGCCCTAGGACGGGCGACCCGGAGATGGAAGGGACTGCTCTCCAGGAGACGATGACTGCATCGCT